AACTAAATTTGGCTGTTAGCTGCGCTCGAAAAGCTTTAACTTGTTTTCAGTTTCATTTACTACCTTTAGCTATTTTCAACACTGACTACATGCCTAGCTCGTGAACTGTGTTACGAATTTAACTCTTTCATAGCTAAATTTGGCTATTTGCTGTGCTCTTCCAGTGTTAGCTTGTTTTCAGTTTTCTGATTTAACTAATTTAGCTATTTTTAGCTACATAAACACTGGATACAGCAAACCACATGCACCCACAGGCCTAGCTGCTGGCTAAGCTCGTGGCTAGTGTGGCAAATTCCACAGTTGTACAATTTGCAGACGCCTTCAATTTGTTAAAAATATTTAAGCTATGTTTAACTATTTCCAACACTAGCTTCAGGTGCTTTAGCGTAGCGACATTTGCCAACACTGCTCTCTAACCCTTCCACAGCCACAGAACACGTTCCTGGACTGTGAACCAATCTATGCACGCCAATTCACTTGTCGCTGGCTTTGCAGCACGCACTGTCGGGACAGTGGCTGCGGCTAAGCGACAGCCGTTTGTCATTTTAATTGCACATAAAACACCTCGTGAGAAACACTCACACACACACACACACACATAACAGATAGCAGGCACATACTGTAGCTAGTTTGTTGGATTAGCCCTGCGCTGACCTGAAAAATGTGTCGACTATTTGTACGCGCTCTGCTTTAATATTCCACACGTGCAATAATCCCATACTCCCACTCACACTCACACACTCAGCTCGTTTGGGGTGTAATGAGCACAACTCGAATGCCAGTTACCAACAAAGTTCAAGTGGTTTTTGTGTCATCAGCCAAATGGGCCAAGAGCCAAGCTGGATTGACTTTAAGTCCCAGTCAAAGGCAGACACACACGACACACATGACACACACACACACACACACTCACTTAAAATACCACAGAATGTCGTACACAGTGATAACACCTAACCGAGACAATTTACAGAATCAACACAAGCTAATTAATTACAGTTGTTGTGTAAACAGCATCTGGGAAATGGAGGCAACGCCTTCCTTGCCACATTTGCCAGCAAGCATAATCAGCGTACATGATTGTCTTGTATTTATTTCTCTGCGCTCTATTGCAGACAATAAATCAGTTGATCTCTATATCTAAAAGGGTTTGTACTCAAATTATGAGAATTCCAACCACATGCGTGGAAAAACCGCGAAAGGGTTTGTATGTATTTTTAATATTTAGCATAATTTTGTGAAAATTGCATTAAGAGATTTATCAATCTTTTCGAGAAGTCAACAGTTTCTCGGTAAAAATGTAGGTGACACATTTCTTGATTATTTCCAAGAATCTTTGTGATAATATGTACTTTTCAGGCTTTTCGCAAAATCCACCCAAGTGGATGGAAAATGCGAGTCAAATATTTTTAGGCCAAGTTTTCACTTAAGTCCTATCGACTGAAAACTTATTTTCAAAGAACTTTGTAAAAAGTCATCTGAATAGTCACATCTTTGACGATTTTAACAATACCCAAACTCATCGAAGGAAAATGCGGGTCGAAGGTTGTGTGAACAAAAGTTTATTGTTTGGCCTCAAACTTTGAACACAGAGTGACAAAAATTTGCGTAAAATGTTGATGTCAACTTTTGATTCCTAATTCAGTGGACAACAAATTGATAAGTGAGAGTTTAACTTGAGACGTGAATAGTAGGTGTTTATTTTAATTTGCCACAAGCGGAAAATGGGTGGAAAAATGATGCCTAAAATTAGCCCCTTAACTGCCAGCTAGTAATTAAATTGAGAAAATGTTGAAAATATATTTAAAGATCTCAGTTTAAAAGAAAAACTTAAAATATAAGAACTAAAGCCTCGTAAGGCCTCTGAGAGTGTAGACCTTCGTATGTTTTGAGAAACCACATACAAAATTTTGATATTTTATCTTGTTAGAGCGTTTTATGATTTTTTAATTCATTTTCATATCCATGCAGAGTATATCACAACTCTGTCTAGAAATGAGTGAGAGTTTTGGAAATGATGAACCATCTTTAGATGTTAAGAGCGGGAATGAAGTCAAAAGTATATTCTTATTTTAAGTACACATATGTTTTACAACCGTTTTATAACGATTTGTGATTTTTGAGTAATATATGTGAAAAAAACATAAACCAAATTTAAGCAGCGCAGCTTAATGTCTAAGATCTCAGACACAATATTATAGAGACAAAATATATTCGACTAGCAAAAGTCGACTTTTTAAATTTGACCCGAACCTGCGATATATATTGTTTTAATGATTTATGAGAAATACATTTTTGCATAGCTTTTATTTGAAGAGCTTCAAGCGAAATGGAAGCAATTCAAAGCAGCTTAGACAAAGAATTGATGAACAAAGGCAAAACTAAATTTTTGTGAGCGATGGCAATTTTCTATTTTCCTAGACTGGGTCATAAACTGGCAATCATTATTATTACAGTCATGTGCCAGGCAATGGGGCGTAACGACAATCAACGCCAAGACGTTCAGTAAATAACCGCACAATTTCAATTTTCAACACATAGGCAAATAGAGGTCTCAACTTAAGAGCATATATATATTTAAATGCATATTTTAATGGTCGTAAAAGAGCCTAAAATCCGTCCCTGGGGCCGAAAAAGCGCCAACTGCCGCTGGGTATACTTAAAGGTCTCAGATACACACACACACACACTTACAGAGAGACAGAGCTACATTTGGACAAGGCCAAGCGCAGCTGAAACAATGGAAACGAACAAGTAATATAAATTATAAACGCAAACTCTGCGACAAGGATATGCGCTGGCAGCGAAGGAGGCGACATGCGATTTGATGGCAAATCATTTTGCTTTTTGCTGGCAAATCGAAAGCGTTGCCCAACAAAAAATAAAGTGCCAGACTATAGCATCACATGCTGTTGCCGCCGGCTAAGGTCAAGGGTCAGCCGCTCTTTGATAATGTCAAAATGTACTGCAACATTTGGCAGTAGCATCAAGGAGCAGAGGCAGCAGCTAGGCCGCCGGCAAATTGCTTGCTCGTATTCAAATGTATTTTAGTTTTAGTATTTGTTGAGCCCAAATTCGATTTGTCGTTTTGCGAATTGATGACGTGGCTGCAGATACTTGCTTGCAACAGCAGCGAAAAAAAAAATAAGTGGCAAGTTGCAAGTGCAACTCGGGTAACTGCAGCAGCTGCCGCAATGTCTATCCCAAATCGATCCAAGCTCGAGGCGAGTACGTATAACTTCACATGCCACACACCAAAGAGTTGGCCATACACACACTCATATATATATATAAATGTATATATTTGTATGTGTGTGTGTGTGGAGGCCAGGCCTATGCCACGCGATGTGATTGTGAATGCGCAAATGTGACGACGTTGCCAAAGGCAGCTCCAGGCTGGAGCTGCCTGCCTGGCTAGGATGACGTAGTCCTCAGTAACGGAGCTTGGCTAAACTGTGTTAGTGTGCCTTTTAGCCTGGGGTTGTTATTGCACAGTACAACACACACACACAAACACACACACACACACGAACACATACACGCAGGCAGGCAGCGTAACTGCGGCGGCATTAAATGGCATTTTTTGGGATCGCCTGACGTTTCATGCTTTAAACGCGCCATTTACTACTGAGTGCGCTAAATTATTAAAAGCAAAACGAGCTACTACAAAACACACACACACACACACACAATCACACAGACAGCGACACAAAGTTCATTAAATACAATGTATGCAAAATGCGGCTGTCGCTGTTTGTCATTTTTGTGCGGCCCCTAAAAGTATGCAGCGCATCATAATCAGCGGACAGGTGCAAGTGTATCTGTGTCTGTGTGTATGTGTGTGTGTGCTTGTGCTAGTTGCCTTTAAGCTTATACAAATATCTGTTTTCATGCTGTCTCGGTGTGTGTGTGGCTTTATGCGTCACGTGAGAATTCCCTTTATTATTATTTGAGTTTTGCTCGCTGCCTTCATGCATATCACGTATACGCAGCGTGTACCTATACATGTACATATATATGTATACATATGTACATATTCGCATTTGATTCGCAAAAGGCATTGATTTTCAATTTTATTCCGCTTCAGTTTATTGCGAGCTGCCTGCTTATGTACGCTTCGTCAAGCATTTTGACAACATGCCTCAATGTTTACTCTACACTCGAGAAAAAGCACGTGCCTTTATTGAAGCAATTCGCCATGTCATTTATTCGAACAAAAGGGATAGTCTGATTTTTTTCAACTTCGTGAAGAAGAGTAGTCTGTCAATTTTTACTATTCTTTCTCTATATTCTAGAAAGAATTTACTGCTTCTTGAAGAGAAATAGGCTGCTTTTTGCAAAAAGAAGTTATATATCAATTTATTCTGCTTCTTCATGGAGAAATATAATTTTTTTTTTTAGAAAGAAAACAGAAATTTGTATATTCTGATTAAGAAAATATTTTCCATTCTCTCAGCCCTACTATTTTATGTTTTCTAAAGAGTAAGCTCAATTTTTTTTCAAGTGCATAAGCCTAAATTTGGTTTGAATATTAATTGCCAGAAAATTAAATTGAATTTCAAAGCTTTTCGATATAGTGCTGTACATTTTTTTTCGAGTGTATAAGCCTGAATATAGTATGAATAGTTTTAGACAGAACTGATGTGTCGGGTGTTGAGTTTATCTGGTTGTGTTACACTTTATTGTTATTGCCCGCTTGTGTTTGCATTCAACTATTTTTTTTTTTTCGCTTTTCTTTATTTTCCTCTTTTTTTATTGTTGCTCAAAACCAACAGACAAAACTTTGCACGTTGCCTTTGAGCGGTTTTTTTTCGTGTGGCACTTATTTTGTTTTTTTTTTTTTGTTTTTTGCCTGCGGCTGACTTCACTCACTCAGGACACGCACACACACACACACACAGACACACACAGGACACGCACACACACACAGACACACACTCATACACACACAGACACTCGCGCGCGTAAAATATATAGTATGAAAATTTCAAAAAATTGCTCACAATTTTCTCGCTCGCCTGGCTCTTGTTCTAGTTCTAGACGTAGTTCTTGTTGTTCTGGTTGTTGATTTTTGTAGTCTTTTATATATTTTTTATATAAGTCTGTTGTCTTCTGCTTGCTGCACGCTGCACGACCACGCGCTACAACGTCTGACTGCGTTCTGTTCTGGCTGAGTCCGAGTCCGAGTCCGTGTCGAAGCCAGCGCGTTTTTGGGAATTGGTGAAAGAATTTTTTGGTTTCACCAGCGTGCGCTCTGCTCACAGGACATGCGCACTGGCATCCTGCAGGTGACACACATTTCCGCGCCAACGTCGATGAAGTGGACGCACCCTCCCTCCGCTACCGCCTTGCCGCCTGGCGCTCATAAACTGCGCTGTTTTGTACTATTTACATCGGCCATCGGTTAAAGGAACCGTTTGCCGTGCTTCTTACCCAATTTGGGCTGCATTCGGCGGGTCGACGGGTCGACGGTTCGCGAGAGCCGTTGGGGTTTCGCCGGGCGCAGGTTTGGCCGTGTTTGCCAAACTTTGGGCGTGATGCGGCGCAAATGTCATTCGTCCGGCTGTACTGTACAGTGCGACCTACGCTGGGGTGAGCCAGGGAGTTAAAAGTTCGCATTCGCCACATCTATAATGGATGAGCTACTGCACGAATACCTATTTGATTAGTCCGGCTCGCTTTCGGGTTAACTGACCCTTGGCAGACAAGCAGCCAACAAAATAATTTTGCGCCAAACAAAAAAGTTAAACAATTCTTTCGTTAAATATTTACAAAACATTTGCCATCCAGCAGCCCAGCTCGTGCACTCGACTGCTCGACTGCTCGACTGCTCAACTGCTCGACTACTCGAGAACTAAGCCAAGCCACTAAAGTTAATTAATGCTGCCAACTAATTGCCAAACTCTATTTCAGATTTTATTTCATTTATTTGCATTGCCCAAAACCCATTTGCCAAAGCAAATACAACTGAAACTCGCCTGCACAATTGTCATTCCCATAAATGTTCATTAACATATGAATATTTAGCTCGAATTCAAGTTTATAAATGTGCAATTCTCTCGCCAGGCAAACAACTTTAACTACAAAACTTTATGAAACACGATTAGCTTTTTAGTTAGAAAAGTCTCCACAACTTTGTCCAAACTAAACCAATTTTCATAATGTACAGCATTTATTTGTTAATTTGTATTTCTGCAACACTTTTCATAAGAGAATTTGTTTGTACTGTTTTAAGGAAAAGTGTGCACAATTTTTCCATTTTGAAAAACTCATTTTTTAATTAGTTTTTCTAAATGAATGAAAGCTTTTTGACATTTTTGAACAACACAACATTCAACATTGTAAGCATGAGCCGAGCAAGGCCGGGTAATTTCTTTAAGTTATTAAATAAAATAGCTGTCATAAGATCATGTATAAAATTCAGACTATTTGCTTTAGTGATACTCCGGCTGTCAATACACTCTAAAAATAAAAAAAAAGATAAACACAAATATTGATTTGTTTTTTTTTTTTCAGTGTAAATAAATTTCCTTAACTATCATAGCTAGGTTTAAACTGAAGCAATTTTCTGGCTGGGTCCCATTTTTATGCCGGTTTAATTTCAAGAAGAATTTTACCTATAAATTTTAAATAATTTTTGATTATTTACTTAATAACATCTCCAAGAGTTGTTTCCGTGTTAAACTCCTGATTAAAGCAATTGCGATTCTTGAATATTTTATTAAATTAGCGCTCGATGACGCTTTGGGCCAAGTGCGACAACTGGTTTTGCATTTGTAAAGGAAACTGAAGCCGAAATCAAAAGCTCAATGAAATCAAAAGCAGCAGCCAGAGCCAGAGTCAGAGCCCGAGCCAGCCGCCTGTCAATTAACACATTAAAACGAGCAAAATTGAGCTGAAAAGTAAACAAGGCCAACAACATCGCCAGTGGGCCGCGATTAGAAGCATAGAATTTCGTAATGGAGCACTTAGCGCCCCAAAAACCATGGCAAATAAACCCAGACGAGCCGAACCGAACGCAGCTCTGCTCTGGCCTGGAGTTCGCACTGAAGCCTGGGAACGAGCTGCTGTGTGTGGGCAGCCAGTGGGGGGTTGAGGGGGTGAGTGGAGGCAACGAGGGGGAGCGGCTGCATCAAAGCGCTAATGTTTGACCCAGTTTGGAGCACTGCAGGAAAGGAACTGCGCATAACTATTTGGCTTTTTGATCATTAAAAACTGGTTAGCCTGGCCAAAACGAACAAAAAATAGACAAGAGTGCCTTAGTGGGGAGTGCACGACTACAAGATACCCCAAAACCAGCAATGTACAAATATTTCGAGATATTTTATGCTACGTTAACTTTCTATTCGATTAGTCCCGGGTGTTTCTTGTCCGATCTTTTCTTAAATATCGTATATCGTTCAAATGTGTATAAATTCCAAAGTTCTGGACTGTACCACTAAGAATTTTTGTTGTTCAGGCTTAGAAGGAGCGTGGATAGGCTACAAAAAAGTGAAATATAATAAGGCTGTGTATATTATTCAAGAGTGTACATGCTAAATTTAATATCTCTATCTTCTATAAGCTCAGAGATATGGATAAGCCACAGAATCTCGATATCGATATTTATCGATTTCCAAGAAAGTGACTAAGCTATCGATTTGAAACTTGATCCTTTCGAGCACTGGAGGAATTAGTGTTAAAAATGGCAGCCTTTTTACAGACAGACAAACATGGTTAGATCGACTCGGCTGTTGATGCTGAACTGGAATATATATATTGCTATATATTATGGGTTGGTGGCTCCTCCTGCTGCTTGTAACATACAATTCGTGATAACCAATCCAACTTTTCTTTTACACATTTTCAATGGGTTCAATGGGTATAAAACCGAACACAGCCAGCAACAAAGCCAACGAGACGCCCATGCCAATGGCGCGAGCTTTTTTGTGGACGCCTCGCGCCGCTGGAGGCTTTAAAAGCGCCAACGCCGCCGGCCAGGCCAAGAGTTTTAAAACATTTCGATTAACACAACTCGCGCGCGCGCAGCTAACGAACAACCATGGCGAATCGATGGACACCTTGCGGTCTGCTCCTGCTGCAGCTGCTGCAGTTGCTGGTGGGCGGCGTTTCGGGCTTTCCGGACGGTGCGCCGGCGGATACGTGCGTTAAGCAGCGCGCCAATCAGCCCAATCATGGCAAGGCGCGCACCCAGCCGGCGCACACGAATCCGTTCGAGGTGGTCGCCAGCTCGCAGACCTTTCATCCCGGCCAGCAAATCTCGGTGGTCATCTATGCACAGGAACAGCATGAGGCGACCACATTTCGCGGCTTCTTTCTGCAGGCACGCGATGCCAATTCGAACGAATGGATTGGCGAATGGGAGCAAAGCGAGAACACCAAGACGATACCCGAATGCTCGGCCATAACGCATTCGGACAATCGGGATAAGTTGGGCGCCAAGCTGATCTGGAAGGCGCCCCAAAACAAGCGGGGCAATGTCTACTTTACGTAAGTAAAGAATATAAAATTATATATATGTATATTAAAGCAACAAGCTAGCTTGGCCAAATCATTGGCAGTGCAAGGCGCAGCTCATTAATCATACGACACGTTGACCCACATAAGAAATGCGCACATAATTGTCCGCAAAATGCCGGATAATCAAAGGTCTTATGTAATTGATTTGCGGCAAAAGAAAAGGGAAAAATGCCTAGAAAAAAAGCTAGTTTTTTTAAAGCAAAAGAGTTGACAATGACGTTGGCAAAAAGTTGTTGACGCTTCTCTCAAATGCAGCACAAAAGCGACACTGTGCTGCATGGTCGCGTTTACCACAGAGCAAGTGTGTGTATGTGTGCGTGTGTGTGTCAGATGACAGTTGCTTCATTTATCACTTGGCATACGCATAATGTGCCAAATGATTTATAAATTATGTGTTTGTCAACACTGAAAAGCAACTCCAAAGTTAATACTACACATGGCTTTAGGCTGGCTTTTTGATTAATTGCCGCAATAGCTGGCTGAAAGTTGTAGCGCAGTGTAACCGAACCAAAAGTGTCGACTCATCTAGTTGCGGCTATTTATAGCGATTGTTAACGCTTAACTAAGTACTTGTTACAACATAGTACATTGTTTTGTGTGCATCGTTGTCAAGTCTTATAAAAGATCTTATACAACTGATTTAACACAAAGCATTGCAACAAAGTATTACAAAAGATTAAGATCTTATGCGTAAACATTTTGAACGCAGTGTTGCAAAACTCTTGAAAGATCTTATCAAACTTATATGAAAACTTATTGTGTGCTGGAAAGTGTTATTAAACTTATATTTAATGCTCCCATGGTTCCTTATAGCGCAAAGTCTAATACAATGTATTATAACAAGCAATGTATTCTGTGCTAGAAAGAAAAATATTAATTCATGCTAATTTTTAGTGCAGTGCTAAAAAGTAACATATCTTATAAAGTTTGTATAACACATAACATTGCGATGTGTGCTAAAAATTCTTATAACAAAACTTATTAATTTAAGTGCTGAAGTCTTATAAAATATCTTATAAATTTGTTATTTGTTCACCAACGCTTGTAGCGCAGTGTTGCAAAGCCCAAGAATCTTTACTAAAATCGTCGACTCATCTAGCTATGCCCGTTTTTAGCTTATATTTAATTAAAAACTTACGTTTACTTTATTCAATTTCCTTGCAGCGGCACTGTGCTAAAGGATTACGGAAACTTCTGGAGCGATATTGTGGGCAAGGTGCAAGCGCAGCCCCAATAGGCTGCAAACCGAATTGTGCATTAAATGTTGCAATAAATCATAAACACTTAATTTAGTAGAAAAGAAAAAAAATAAAACAAAAAAAAATTGTTGTTTTTCTTTTTTAGTGCAAAAGCTCATTAAAGACCAAAACGGGCCAAGCCCCTTGCCAAACAACAGTAAATTATTGGCTTAACGTTTATGAATGACCACTCACTCACACACATTGACGGCGGCCCACACGCACACACACACACAACACATACTAACAATACAAGCACACGTCTCACGTGCTCTCTCTCTCTCTCTCTCTCTCTCTCTCTGTCTCTCTTACATACACATACGCACACTGAGAAACACTTTGACACCGCACGATTAGGCACACGTTTAAATTTCCAGGCACGTTGCCTGCATCTTATTGGAAATTCGCTTTGCCAAACGGCCGGTTCGAACTAAATTGGAAAATTGAAGCACCTCTTATACGTTCTAAAGCAATGAGGATGATAAAGTAATTAGAGCAGTGCGCCCTGCTTGGCATAAATAAAATGTCAAAGCCACTTCAAGCCTGAGATAGTTCTTATTTCCTGCAGCGATAGCATTGAATCAATAAGATAAGAACTTATACATACTTGTCAATAATATATGCGCACAGACATGTCTACACATGTTTGGCTACATACTAACTGTTATGTATGGCCCCGGCAATTAACCAGCCAATCTGTCTGTTGAGCGTACAGAGAGCCTCGGCTAAAGCGGTTCATGCGCTTTCATATTAAATATGCATTCCGTGGACATACATATCCATATATAGAGACGGATTGAATTACATCAACGGAAACCTAGTCAAGTGGTTGACTGCCAGCTAAGTACAGATCCGAGCTGACGGTAGACAAACAGAGGTACAGACTAGCTTAACTATGTTGACCCAGTTGCAATGCATGGTAATTGTTTCCAGTATTTGTTCGAGCAGTATTTGTTAATATAAAAGGATAGATTTAATAAATTATTTTTCGGTTAAACGTTTTCTGATCTTCAAACGAAATAAGCTCGTTTGCAATAACGCACCTTAGTCAGGTCTTACTGTATTTGCTTGTTTACTGCTTGCCGTTGCACTTGTTTACGCCTTTCGAGCGAAGTGCATGGCAACAATAAGCCGATGCGGCGAATTAGGGCGAATTGGGGCGGCAGCGCGGTGTAAATCGCGTGTTGTTTTCGCACGCTGCAGTCGCAGTCGCCGCAGTCGGCGAATGGCTGCGGTTTGCCAACTTGTTTTGATCGAATTCGGCGACTGTCTGGGCTTCGCCGCAGCTGCTGCGCCAGCGGCGTAGTCGAAGTTGTGCTGCTTAGAAGCTTGGGCCTGCCTTAGAAAGAGCGGATGACGCCTCTGCCTGGCCGGTTGACAAGTTCGTTGTCCAGCATGTTTTGGCGCACACGCTTTACTATATTGTACGCACATATATAATTGTTGTTGATATTCTCTGCCTCTCTCTCTCTCTTGTGTTCATTTCATTTATCAGCAGTCAGCGGCGCAGTCGCCGTCGCCGTCGCCGTCGCAGTCGCAAGCGCAGTTCTCGATTGCTGCCAATCGCAACACTTTCAGTTATATTTTTACGACCTTCCGACGAGGTTCGCAGATCGAAGAGAGATCATCTACAATATGGTTATCAATTTTGCCGCCGGCCCAGCCAAGCTGCCCGAAGAGGTCAGTGAAAATCAAATAAAATCAGATTAGTTTTAGGTTATAAACGAGTCCTTGCTCCACATACCAGGTGCTGAAGGAAGTGCAGACGAACCTGCTCAACTGCAATGGCAGCGGCATTTCGGTCATGGAAATGTCCCATCGCTCCGGCAACTATGCCAAAATACACGATACGGCCATTGCCGATCTGCGCGAGCTGCTCAATGTGCCCTCGAACTACAAGGTGTTGCTGATGCAGGGCGGCGGCACCGGACAGTTTGCGGCGGTTGCTCTGAATCTAATCGGATGCACGGGCACGGCCGATTACGTCATCACCGGCTCATGGTCTGCCAAGGCGGCCAAGGAAGCCGCCCAGTACGGCAAGGTGAACGCTGTGCTGCCCAAGCTGCCAAAGTACACGGACGTGCCCCGCCAGAGCAGCTGGAAACTGGATGCGAATGCCTCGTATGTCTACTATTGCGACAATGAGACGGTGGAGGGCGTGGAGTTTGATTTTGTGCCCCAGGTGGACGCCAAGGTGCCACTGGTGTGCGACATGTCGTCCAATTTTCTATCCCGGCCCATTGACATCAGCAAATTCGGCGTGATTTTCGCTGGCGCACAGAAGAACATTGGCCCCGCGGGCGTTACGGTCATCATTGTCCGTGAGGATCTGATAGGCAAGCACTTGAAAATCACGCCATCCATACTGAACTTTGAGCAGATGGACAAGAACAACTCGCTGCTGAATACGCCGCCCACCTTCGGGTGAGTTAGGATTTGGATTAAGCTGGGCAGCACCTTAAAATATCTCCCATCTCTTATAGCATCTATGTCATGGGCCTGGTCTTCAAGTGGATCAAGCGCAGTGGCGGCGTTGCGGGCATGTGCGAGCGCGCCAAGGCCAAGTCGCAGCTCATCTACGAGATAATAGATCAATCGAAGGGCTTCTTTTACTGTCCCGTGCAGAAGCAGGTGCGCTCCCATATGAATGTGCCCTTCCGCATTGGCAGCGCCAGCGGCGACGAGAAATTGGAGAAGGAATTTTTGGCCCAGGCCGAGGCCGAGGGCATGATACAGCTGAAGGGACATCGTTCGGTGGGCGGCATCCGAGCCTCCCTCTATAATGCCATAACGCTGGCCGAGACCCAGCAGCTGGCCAAGCTCATGCTGGCATTCTACGAGAACAATAAAAACTAAAACCTAATGCTTGCTCTTGCTGACTTATTATTTACAAAAGATTGCGTTTGGCGAAGATCTCGTCCAGCTGTGCCTCCAGCTTGGCGTTCGTGCCGCGCATGTTATCCACGACCTGTTTGGCCCACACGAAATACTCCTCGCGACGTTCCTGTATGGAATATAAAAATTAGTTCGAATTTCTTGAGGAGGTACACACTTCACTTACCTCTGTCCAGCCACGAGGCTTGTTGATTTGCAAATCTCGCAGATTGTCCAGCTTGTCGGCCAGCTTGATGAATCTGGCGCGGCGCGTGGAACGGGCTGCGTTCTCTATTTGCAGGCGCTTGCGTTCCTCTTTGGCCAGGGTCTTGTCGTCGGTCAATTCGCGCACCAGGCTGGACACGTCCACGCCAAACAGATCCTCCAGGTCGACAAAAGTAGTGTCCGTGTCTTCAACCACATCGTGCAGCACGGCCGCCATGAGCACGCCCTCGTCCCGGATGCCCGCCTCTGCTAGGATTGTGCTCACATTTATTAGATGGTTAACGTATGGTGTGCTGTCCGGATCCTTCCGGCGCTGTTTGCTATGTTTTTGCGCCGCAAATTGCAGGCTTTTCAGAAAATCCAAAGATGCCATCCAAACAGCTTCTTATTTTCATTTGAATGAATCAGCTGTTGGCAGAGTTACGGCAAAACAAGCTGTGCCTCGATACAAAACATCGATTAGCTAGTATTTTTCAAAAATACTAACTAATATCGATACTAGCTTATGCGATGATTTTGTTGCTGTGCACCACAACCTCACTTCACAGCACTGCAACACTGGCGGCCACCTACTTAATAAATAATCAATTTAAATCACTTTCAGAGATTCCTTTGGCTAACCTGTTCCATTGGGACTATATTGGACAGTCATCACCTTTGCGCTTTTTCGCATCAATAAGAATGAGTTGAATAGGTAGTAAAAGTCGATAGGCCAAAAATCGGCAATTCTTAAATGGTAAGTATTTTCAACTGCAACTCTGCAACACTGCAATAAATACTATCGATACACTTAGTCGATAATAAGAACAGCCCTGTCATGCTATTTCAAAATTCGCCCGCCAACCGGAAAAACGATTTAAATTTAAAATAGTTTTTCTTAACGTTTATTATAACGTTGAAAGCCCAATGGACTGCAATTATTTTGGACAGTCATCAGTTTTATTGCTCTCCTGCTTGGCCTTCTCCTGCACCTCCGGCATAAAGAATATCTTGCGCGACTTCAAGGACGACCACTTCAAGCGCTTGATGTAATAGGTGAGTGAAATCAGGAACGTGGAGATGATTGTCACCTTGATGATGAGCAGCTTGCGAATATCGCCCTCCGGCTCCGAAGTCCAGGCGAGAAACGTCACCACATCCTTGGCGATCTGGCTGGCCGTCGGCGAAATCTTGTCATCCGGATAGGTAACCGATTCGTTCGATATCAGCTGACCCATGGCTATGGCGCCTCCGCTAAAGTACGGATTAAAGTAGAGACCGTCGCGCAGCGAAAAGCCAGCCGGCGGATCACAGTAGCCCGTCAACAGGGCGAATATATAGTCCTCGCCGCCCTTGCGCGCCGACACAATGTAGCTGAGATCCGGCGGATAGGCGCCGTTGTTGGCAGCTCGTCCGGCTTCCTCGTTGGGATAGGGTAGTGGCAAATAATCGGACAGCTTGCCGGGCCGATCGAAGTAGTTGCCCTCCTCGTCGGGCCCGTCATGCACCGTGATGCCCTCCGCCTCCGATTTGGCCTCCGCCTCCGTCATGCAGACGCCCACCAGATTACGATAGGCAATATACTTTAGCGAATGGCAGGAGGCGCACACCTCCTTATACACCTGATAGCCGCGACGCACGCCCTCCTTGTCGACGGCCGACAGCAGGCCCTTATGGCCCCAGCCCTGCTTGGACGGATGCACACAGTCGCTGGAGGCATCCACACTCACATCCATGGCGTACATCAATAGTCCGGCTGCTCCAGTCAGGGCGCCAAAGGTCAGCAGCTTCTGGCGGGCTCCGGTCCATTTTCTGGCATTCGTCGACGTGCTGCGCCTTACGTACGCTGCATTTATGAAATTCTTCGACGATTTAAACAGCTTTGAGCCGAAATTTAACAATTTGCCAGCCATGTTAAAGCGCATACTTTTTTTTTGCGCTGACAGTTCCTGTAATTTCCAAGCAGTGCTGTAAAATGTCGACCGATAAGGCTGCCAGATCGGCCAAGGCGCAAACCAACACTAAACTTCAGTAATGCACAAGTCTTAAAAGCGTGATTAGAGTGGGCATGAGATAATATTATTATTGTTCCACGAAGCTTTAAAATAGGCATAATTGGTATTTGAACTAACGTGTAATGAGCATTTAAATATTTGTCTCTTGGTAATTTACAACACTACTTTATGGTGCTTTCGTGTACAGTAAAAGCTCTATTAACGGACACAGATCTGTTTAAGCTGAACAATTTAATTTTAACAAAAAATAAAAGTATTTCCGGCTAAGAGAAAAATAAAATTAATTTACATAAAATTTAATTAAAATATTCATAACCGAATGTCATTAATATTTATCAAAACATTTAAGAATTTGTTATATGTCTTCTTTTAATATTGTCCAACACATAATTAACGGAACAACAAACTGGAAACGTAGGCAACCGCGTTCAAGAAAGCTTTTGTCTTTTGAACTTGTTCAACACTGCCAACAAAATTTGTATGCGCTGTAATTGCATTTTAAGAGTTGTAGCCAACTTTTACAGCTATGCACAGGCACAGTCAAGCTTAAACAAAATGCATATCTAAGATCTTTCTTCATAATGCAGCCACACACACACACACACACGCACACATATCGTATGACAAATGCAGTTGACTTTCTGTAATTCTCTCAGGAAAAAGCAAAGAACGTTATACATTAAAGCCCATTTAATTTGTTGTTAGCAACAACTCGTTCCTTTGCCTCCTTCTCATCTACATAGATCTTTTTTGGGGCCCGGGCACTTTCGTTCCGTTATCTGGCCCGTCGGATCTGTAAATCTGTAACAGCCCAACAAACAGAGCACTCTGCGGCATACATACAATATTTCCTAGCCCATTCTTCACACTGTGTGACCACCAAATCGTCAAAGTCAGCCAGCCCAGGCTTTTTTTACAAAAGAAAAAATAAAAAAAAAAAAAAAAAAAACTAAAACTGCGGCCAAGCGACGCAAACGGTTTTTGGTGAAAATTTGTACCTGATTTTATATTTCCCTTTGCTGTTACACTATTTTTTATTACGTATTATCATGTTTACCATATTTTTACACGCGCTTACACACACACACACGCGCGCACGCGCGCTCTGAGAGTGAGAGAGAGTGTCGGTGTGCGTGTGTGTGTGTGCTGCGTTCTGCTTCTGCGCAGCGATGCATAATTCCCACTTGGTAGCTGTTGTTTTCCGCGGTGGTTGCTGCTGCCGCTGCTGCCTCTGCCGTCGCCGTCGCCGCTGCGCAATTAATAATTCTTTCGACTAGCGTGAAATTTTCATAAACAAGAAAGCGGCAGCAGCAGCAACCACAGTAACTTTCCATGAAAATCTTTGGGAGACAAAAAAAAAAAAAAAACATGGGCCCAAACAAATGAGTTCACGATCTAATAAATTTTACTCAAATTACAAAACGCATTAAAGTTTCCGAATGGTATTTATAGCTTTATCATGATGCTAGTTGGACTATAAAAAATAGACGCGCATGATTTGTATAAGCACAAAACATATTTTAATTAAAAATGCGGCAAAAATACTAATCACGACGCCAGCAGCAGCTTTGCATAAAACAAACCGAAAAAAAAACAGTGCTGTAAAACGCCAAAGTGCACTTATAATGGGGGCCATTTGCAATACATGCAGGCATCGTTGGGTATCGATGTATGTGTGCGAAAAATGTAAAACCAAAAAAAATAGCCTGCAATGTTTATATTTATACATAAGATGTGCGCATCTATGGCGCATGGTTTATATTGTACATGCAACCAGGAATAGCAACAACAAAAAGGTATATGCATAATTTTGCAATAAATGTAAATATTACTGGTCCGCTTCCTTTGGGAGCCACAGCGCCAGGCAGTTTCCTGTTTGCAGATGCTGCTGCCCGCTGGCCGCGTCGCTGTTGCAGCTTGGCTCCTGGCTCCTTATCTTTCTTTCTTCTTTTTTTATGCAGCAGCAGCAGCAGCAGCAGCACGAAAGCCAGAAACAAGAATTATAGACCAAAAGCCAGTTGCAAGTAAACTTCAGCTAGATACACACACACACATCTGTGTGTGTGTGTGTGTGTGCGCAGGAAACGTCTGTGTGTGACTAGAAGAAGTGAAGGCCCCAGCACAGAGAAGCACCAGCATCAGCATTTTTTTTTTTTTTTCGTTTTTCCAGCAATTGTGATTTCAGTTGCCAGCGAGCAACGACAAAGTCGACAACGACAACGATGACGACGATCGACAACAAACAAACAATGAATATCAATAAATTTTGCTTGAAAAACATACAAACACGCACACACACACACACACAGAAATATGCACATGTTGCGCTTGTGTATTAGTTGCAGCATGCCTGTTGCTGTGTCAGCAACTGCATCAAGATGCAGCAACTGCATTGTCGGGCTGCTGCAATTTACTAACACACACACACACACACACACACACATACACACGTTTAGATGCATATGTACGTTTTTCATTATCATAAAACGAGATCACATTTTATTTAATGGTTACATCTGTCGCTGGCAGTGTTGCAAAGCGCTGCATTGCAATTACAATGCGCATTGCGTGCGCTACACGCGCTACTGTTGACGCGCTGTCAAGCGCACGCCTTTCACTGTGCGCGCTACGCTCGCTCTCTCACACTCTTCAATTGACATTGCGCTCTCTTAATTCTCGCTAACTAACTAAGCTATGCTCGTATATACAACAACATCACGATTGTTTGTGGTTGTGTGTGTGTATGTGTGTCTGTTTGAGGGCTTTGTGCGGTTTGCCGTCGATTTTGTAAACTTTTGCCAGCATAGCCTTTAGCTTCATTATGACGTTGTAACTGTCTTTTCAATTTCTCGTTTTGCCCGATTCGCTGTGCCAATGATGCTTGGGGTCTGTCTAGCAGATACACAGCTTACCGCTTACAGTGTGTGCTCTGCCGTGTGCGATGCTTGCCGATGCTCTGATGAAGCTGAAGATGGATATGCCGTCCGCTTTATGTCCGTTTGTCTCTTATTTTACTACGCACAAACACTCACACACACACACACACACACACATGCACAGTAGATGAGTCACGTTGAGTGTGTACAGTGAAAGCTCTGCCCACGGAAAGCTACCTGTGGCGTACATCTGCTTGAGCCGTGCAATCTTTTTGCTCTTTCTTGTTCCAAATACTCTTCTTATTTTCTGAAAAAACTACTTTAGCTGAAAAACATGCTAATTCATTTAAAAAACCGAAGAAATACATAAAAAATAAAAAAAATAATATAATCGACAAAAAGCAACCTTTTAAGAACATGATAATATTAATATATAATATAAATAATATATATAAAATATAAATAAAAAAATTTAAAATATATAAAAACATTTTTCTAATATTTTTGTGCGTTTTTCTCGCTTGACCTAAACTAAACTGAAAACGCATGTGTTCACTCAAAAGAGCTTTCACTGTAGCTGTACTTACTGGCTGTGTATGTGTGCGTGTGCCTCTCTCTGTGTGTGTGTGTGTGTGTGTGTGTGCATCTTCTTCTTCGACATCGTCGCTTGATGAGTTTTGTTTTAATTCTGCTTCTTGACTTCAATTTCTTATAAAAAATTGTATATGCACGTAATAGCTGATTTATCTGTATCTGTATCTTTATCTGTGTGCCTCTTGCTGTTGCTGTTGTTGTTGTTGTGATTTGGTAAATCTCGCGTAGCCGATTGTAATTATTGTAATCGAGTCTCGAACCGATCCAATCCGATACGATCGCCGTCTCCGCCGTGGTTCAGGTCCAGTTCGCACACTGATTTGATTTTGTCTTCTTCATCATTTTCCTCTGCTGCTGCTGCTGCTGCTGCTGCTTCTTCTTCTTGCACTTCTGAGCTGTTTTGATCATTTTGTAATAGTTTTCTCGGCCGCGCTCCTTAAATCATCTACAACGGGGATGATCGTGTGCGCAGCTAAGGCTAAAACTGTGCGCGCGCGCATTTCTCTTTGATGCCGTCGCCGCTGACGTCGCCGTCGCCGCTGACGTCGCAGTCGCAGTTGCAGCTGACGTTGTCGCTATGCTTTTTGCTTAAAGTTGATTGACTGTCTGTTCATTTAGCCGCCTGTCCGTGCGGCTCTATGGGGCCCGCTCCGTTTGTTGGCTTCAACAGCGACTGCGGCTTGTTGATTTGTCTTGCTGTTGCACGTTGCCTGTTGCACGTTGCCAGTTGCGTTGTTTCTTGTACATTTCGTTTAAGGCCATTATTGTTTTGAACATGTTCAAGTGCCATTCTCACGATTGTTTATAGTCTTTTAATTTCAAGCTCGAGTACAAGAAATAAACAGCGAAATTTAGCATCAGTCGATTTGTTGTTCTTAAACTTAATGCTACTCACTTCAGCTGAACTTCGAGTGGACTAAACACACACACACACACACACAGAGAGAGCCACATAAATATGCTTCCTAAATCTATGTCCAAAACGGAGAAAGGCCGATACGCATCGCCGCTGTCTTCACACTCTTGAGCTGGCCAAAATGTTTGCCCTCTTCAAGCAGCCATCAAAGCTGTTGCATTCTACAAATACTTACAAATAGTTATTCAACACTGGCACTGGATGAAATCTCTTAATCCTCAAGCATTGCCAAACATTTGTTTAGTCTACATGAAGAACTTAATGTTAAGTCAATTAGAGATTTTAATTTGTTACACTTAAAAAAATTTGGTTTTATCATAATAAAGGGAAACTTTTAGTTAAAAGTAAAGTTTTAGTTTAAAGTTTTAGACAGTAATAAACTTTATGCTTGTATACTATATCATTTACATATTAAATAAATAAAATAAAGCAAATCTCTTTTGGTAGTTGTTTCTATATTATTTAAACCCAAGAGACGTATCATCCCTTTTTTTTTTTAGTTTTTATCTAGGAACCATTTTTTGTAATTTCTACTTAAATGTTTTGAAAAACCATCCGTTATAATATAAAAATTGTTTTATGTTTTAAACAATTCTTGTGTTGGATCAAAAATAATATACTTTACTTTAGTTTTTTGCGGAAAGAATCAAATGTTCTTATTGTTTTGTGAGCGTGGCCCATAACTTGATTATATATTAATTAAATTTTTGCAAGCTCGACAGCTCAATGTTTACGCATTTAAATTGTCAGACAATTGAACAAGAGAGCCTAAACATCTAAAGTTTGTTTAACTCTAGGGAAACGCTTCCCACAGTTATTGGATTTATTATATTTCTATAATAATACTATAGAATTTAAACAATACACAAGTGTAATTTGAGGATATTCTGCTAATAGATTTATTAATGTGGGCTAATTATATAATTAATAAGCAAACATTTGCCAGTTCGAACCTTCACGCAGTTCTACGCGCCATATTGGGCGCTCGGCACATTGACCTTTGACCGGCTGGCATTTGAGGAAGCTGGCAAGCTGACATTGCTCGATCGATTGTCGGAACGTTAATTAACTAGTCTTGTCTGGGAAAACTTCAGGCAATTGACATGCGCCGTGGCCAAGAATAAATTTGCCAGTTAAAGTTGGCCCAAGTTTGGCTTAGGAGCTAGGAAAATGTAAAAAAAAAACACTCGAAAATTGAGTAAATAAAATAAATGCAAAAGAAACTAAGGACTGACAATTGATGAAGACGACGACGACGGCAACAACAACAACAACAACAATTTAAATTAAAAGCGCAATTGAACTGGAAAATTCGTCCAAATTGTTTTCACAATTGCAGGAAAAGAGCCCAAACAGGCGGCAAAACTCGAGCTCCAATCGTGGCCACAATCAAGTCCTGAGCAGCTCAGCTAAACAGATATATATATGTATATGTACAGGTAGATGCATAAAAATTTCAAAACTAATGATAGCAAAGCGTCGAGCTGCTTTTGTGCACAATTTATGCATGTGAAAAGCAAGATCTGCCTTGGCCAAAAGCTGGGCCAAAGAAATGCTGCGCTCGCCTTTTTGTGGGAGTTCAGTTTATACAACGTTTTTTTTTTTCTTTTCTTTTCTACTCATTCTATTTATTTTGTTTTTTTTTTTTTTTTTATTTGTAAGCCGCGATAAGCATCGGAAAAGCTAGAAGTTTAGAAAGGCAGCAGCATCCGAGCCAGAGCCAGAGCCAGAGCCAGTTCGGGCCAAGTACCTGGCTACGTTTCTATCTATGTATCTGCAATACATAAATTGTATGTATCTATAGTTGGCCACATACATTGTACTCACTCTCTCCCTCTCCCTCTCTCTCTCTCGCTCTCTCGCTCTCCCTCTCTCTTGTGTGTATCTATGTAATGAGCATGTAACTAAACTTCTGTGCAGCCAAAACTCCTACAACGCTGCAGAGACACAAAAGCCAAAAGCAACACCATCAACAACCAAAGGGGCAGGGGCAGGGGTAGTGGTAGGGGAAGGGGAAGCCAGGCCAAAGCCATGGCAAGACCTACTGCCAACTCCCTCAATACCCGTTTGCCACAACTTCAATTCAACTGTACTGGCTCTTTGGCTCTTAGCTCTATCTGATGATGGCCGTTAAAGTTAAAGCTGTAGCCGAAGCTGTAGCTGTAGCTGAAGCTGAAGCTGAAGAGCGCCCGACCCGACCCGGCACATGGCTCCCATTCCCCCCCTTGCACACCTCTCTGCACCCCGCCAGTCTACAGCGTGGGCCCCATCTGTGGCCAAGGTACGCTCGATCGCTGCCAGCCGCATTTGGCCTGAAGTTTGGTTTTGCTTCTACTCGTAAACATGAGCTACGTTCTTTAGATGCCCTAACATAGAGTACCTCACTTTACTCATGTCAAATGTAACATCTTAGGGCAGACTAAGCCAAATGTATGTCTCAATATTTAGCTTTAGCTTTGGCTCAGGCTGCGAGCATCTAGCTGTGACTAACTATCTAACTAACTATCGGAACTCGCTTCGATTTGGAGCCATGTTCATAGAACTTGGTACATACACTACTTTTTGTTGCAGCTGGAATATATATCAAGTTCGTGCGGAACGCAGCAGTAAGACATATTGCTGCCATAGAGGCTTTGAACAGATTCTATTATTATGTTTATTATAATTATTTTATAATTATATTAATTGCTCTTCAACATGAGATTGGAATAGCTCTGTGTGTACTTGGAATTATCTGAAAAAAGTTAAGTAAATATTAAATATTAAATTTTCCATGATTCACTTCTAGATACTTTATCATATTGCTTGTTTTTAAGATCTATTTATATTTTTTTAAATGTTTTCTTAGTTTTGCCACTTAGGGTAAATATAAAAGCCACGCCTTGAAAATTGGTCAAATTTCAAGTAGATCTACATTATTATTACACATTTTTATGTAAGGGTATTCAAGTTTCGGCGTCACTCATCGAAATTTATGTTTTTCTTGTTTTTACCTCTGCTTGACTTCATTTGTTTGGCTTTTTTGGGAGACAAAACTGGTTATTACTCTTTTCTTTTATATATTTTCCCCCGTTCGCCTGAACTTCGTTTTCGGTTGCCGTTTTTT